TGGTATAATTTTCTGATTACTTATTTAATTTATCCATTGACTCGTTTTATTTTAGAAATTTTCTCGTTTATTTTTAGAAATTAAGATATCTTAATCGTACTTATTTTTGAAGCTTTTTTGCCAACCTCAGGAGAATTCTGGATGCATGGAATGCTTCTGTTTCACACGTTTCTATATCATTGAAACAAGACCTAAAATAATCAATGTTCATAATTAAAGTTTAAAAATAATAAATTTGTTTTATTTCCAAAGCCACGTGTTCCTTATAACCTGTCTAATTGATTTTTTGTTCTTGAAAAGAAATGCCGAAAATTACATAGAATTAATTGATGTTTATTATTACTATGCAGGATTTTAATAACTTAACTTCCCCTAAAGTAATTGATAATAAATTTTCATTCTGAAATGTAAATCAATTTTCTAAATACGGCCCTGTCGCTTATCCCACCTCGGAATCGAAGCGCTAACAAATGCTGGCAACCTACAGAAAAAAATTACTAGGATTGTCAAAATGAACTGTCAACTTTTTTTTCTATCGTGAATTTGACTCTATCAGTGAATATTCATAGATTACGCCCAATAACATCACATTACATTTTACTATAAACCGGCCCTTCTTGGCGTCAATTTATTGACTCCAACGCAGTGCGAGAAGGATAAAGCTATTGGTGACACGACACAACTGAATTTGAGGTGCTTATTGCTTGTGTCAAGCAAGTTGTCAACGTTTATTTTGGTCAGTTTAATTCAATGACGTTTTGCCACCAATAGCTCCATCTCTCTTGAATCTCTCTCACTAATGTTGGCTGCAAACAAACGCTGTTCGAGAATATGGCCAGGGCCAGTCCATTAGTGAAAAGTCATTGGTTACGCCCCACTTTTCTTCCCCCTTTCGCCTCTATCAAGTTACCATTACCCAGACTATACCTACAGGGTGTTTCACGAACATCGAAACAGAGGCGTCTGAGGGTATTTTAAAGTCATTAAAAAAAACACTAGCACACGTCAACTTTGTATTCAAGAGAAAAACTTTTTGACCCCATCAAGTGGGGTGCCTCTTACCCCACCTTTTTAGATAGAGAAGATGCCAAAGATGGGTATATAGTATCAAAGTTTAGTACCTATAGCCATTGTTTTAAAGGTAGGTATTTTGATTTTCGTTGTTTCAAGTGCGTTTTTTTTTTAAAAATCTCAAGATATTCACTGTCAAAGTTGCTATGAGTTAAATAGGGAACAATTTTCTGGTCCTGGTATTCTCATATAAACACTTCTGGTATTTTTCACTTAATCGAGACATTTATCCCATTTTGATGTTTAAAAATGACATTATTGAACGCATAATAACAAAGGTAAGTAGACGTTTATCACCTGAATGATTTAAAATATTTTTAGCTCACTCTCGGTCTTTTAAGTCATTCTGCCTATCCGAAAATCTGATACAAATACAAACAAACAACTAGCTATACCCTAGCAACTACCAGTTTCAATAGGTACTAGATATTAAGGGCTCGCTGAATGAATTCTTGTGGGTTAAACTTTCTTCTCATGAATAAACATTCATTTAACTCACTTGCTGTATAAATAATTATTAGAAAATGTTGTTATTTGAAAGATCTTCAAAACAACTACTCAGACCACACTATTATGTTAATAGGGGTGAAAATAACTCTCAATCCAAAAAACAAGAATCATCTACGGAGTTTTAACAAGGATCAAAATACCTTTAAAACAAAGTACTATTCGACCTGAACCTAACATCCTCATTTTGATAGAAAGGATGAATAGCAACTTTCACAAAGGGCGATGTGATGAATAGAAACGAATTGAAATTATTAAAAAAGTGTTTTTGAAAACATGAGAGAGGAAAGTGTTGATTTGAGAATAACAGGGCAAGAAAATTGTTTTGTATTTAGCCCAGGCAACTTTGTCAGTGAATATTATGCGAGCTAATCATTCGTTTTTGAAAAAAAATACTCACTTGTGATGAGAAAGATGAGAATCAAAATACCTTTGAAACAAGTACCCCTTGACCCATCTTCCCTATCTAAAAAAGAGGGGTGAAAGTCACCCCACCCAGGAGGTGCACCTTAGCGAAATACCGAAAGGGTCAAAAAGTTTCCCCCTTGAATACAAAATTGACGTGTACAGTGTCCGAGAGTTTTTGTTAAATCGACCTTGAAATATCCCAAAAAGTCTCTATTTCGATGTTCGTGAAACATCCTGTATATGTATTTTGATAATATGAATAATAATTTATCTTATTTTTTATTTTCCTCAAAGGCAAATTATTATAAAACAATACACCATACATAAACCTCATGAAACATTTTTTCTTCGCCTTCAAGCGGATAAATTAATAATCCCTATACAAAATTACATAACAGAGTGAGAGAGATGGTGACTTTGAGAAAATTAAAATTTGGTATGACTCCAACCTTTTGGTTCTGAACTTTGACAAAACAAATATTGTTAGCTTTAAATTTGACTTGATTATTGGGGATACTATTGTTGAAAGTCGCCCTGACTTGTTATTGACAGGGAACTAAGGATTGAGTTAAGAAAAATAGCATCAGCAGGGTGCTATGCAGTTAGAGTTACCGTTAATGAACTGGGCACCTCAATGAGACGAACCATCTATTACGCACTTATTGAATCACGTCTTAGATATGGACAAAGGACCAAATGTCAAATAAGTTGGTGGGAATAGTATTGTAGTCAAGAGTTTCAAAATTTTCTGAAAAACAAGGTATTATTGAGCAGAAAACCAACAGTCATACTCCAGAACAAAACGGTAACTTGCTACTTGAAAAACCGGCCATTGACTAGTGGCGTCGATAAAACTTCTTATGAGTTGAGGACAAAGAAAACGCCTGATCTCGGTCATTTGAGAATATCTGGAAGTAAGACTTCAAGTACATATCCCAAAAACCCACAGACCACAAACACTGTACCATATATTCTAGTTGGATACGCTGAAGTCGCCAAAGGTTACAAGTGCTCTCAGAAAAGTTATTATTAGCAGGGACATTATTATAATAGAAGACATAAAGCAAACAACTATAATCAATGTAATGAATACAGATACGTCAGATTCAGCAGGAGACTGTAGAATCAGAGATAGAGTTAATGATAGGACAGCTACAACAATATATGAAGATTCAGTTGAGTACTCAGAAGTAGTTGACAGCAATGGCTGTAGTAACTAAACCCTGCGTGAGGCGATCACAGAGAATTTCAAAGCAGACAAATTTTGACGATTATGTGAACTATTTGACCAAAGATGACGCAAAAAAGTGTTGCTGAGACACATGATGTGACTGTTTGAGAAGCACTTTCCAGAGTTGATGAATTCAGATCTCAGATCTTTTGAGCAGCACGACATCTGAGAACTCGTTGATCTACCATAAAGCAGGGGACAGTAGTCGAAATACTTAAAACAATCCAGTCGAACCTAGTTAGAGAAAGTCGATAAAGTCCTATTTGGAATAAATTATAAAAAATCTCAGTATGAACCATGCTTAGATATCAAAAGGAATAATAATCTTATGACAGTTGTGGCTCTCTATGTAAACGACTTCATTTTTTCAAACGACACTGTAGAGTTTGGAAATTTAGGTGAAGCTAAGCATTGTTTGGGAGTAAGAGTTGAAAGAAGGTATAGTGAGAATTTTATTTCATTAAATCAGGAAAATTACATTGATGAAATACTCAAAAAGTTTAATCTGTCAGAATGTAAGAGTGTTAACACTCCACTTGATAGTAGTGTTGATTTTGAGAATATTCAAGGGGAAACTTGTAAGCAAAGTTAATGGGTAGTCTCATGTATCTTGTCGTTCTTACTCGTCAAGACATAGCATATTCTGTGAGCTTTCTCAGTCAATATAATAATAACTACACAAAATCACACTGTCAGAATGCAAAAAGAGTGCTCCAGTATTTGAGGGGTAACAAACATTTGAAGCTAAAGTTTCAAAAAGGTGGTAGTTTTGAGCTTAGGGTATGCTGATGCTGATTGGGCTACCAATAAAAAAAAAACCAGAAAGTTATATAGTGGTATTATTTTTACTTTATCTGGTGCAGCTGTCAGCTGAGAAAGTAATAAACAAAAAACTGTAGCACTCTCGAGCACAGAGGTTAAGTATATGAGGATGAAACTGCCAAAGATGCTGTATATTTAGGTAATATTTTGTCAAATTTGATAAATCATAGAAGTGTTGTGGCAGTGTTCAATAATGACAATCAAAGTGCTGGTAAATTAGCATTAAATCCAATTTTCCATAAGAGGTCCAAGCATATCGATGTCAGGCATTATTTTATAAGGGAATTGATTCAGAATAATCAGATGAATATTACAAATGAGATGTCAGCTGACATCTTACCAAAGAGCTTACCAACAGTAAAACATACTTTGTTAGTAAATTAGATTAACTTAGTGAGAAATAAGCTTTTGTAATAGAGGGGGTGTTGAAATTAGTATCCCAAAAGCTTATTCAAAATGTTGCATTAGTACCTATGATGATGTACCTATAGTTCAAGCTTCTTTGCACGCGTTTCGTTAATTTCTTTACAAATTACAGTTTAGAGCCTGATAAGAGCTACAACGGTTATCAAGCAATTGAAATTTGAATATTTTTAACTCAGAATTTAAACCCTTAACAAAAACTCGATTTTTTTTTTAAGTTTTGCTCAATTTTGACTTTAGCAATCAATAGAGCGAGTCAAAATTAGTGAAAAATGACCCTCTCATCATTTCCGAATGGCCATTTTGAACATAAACAAAAAAAAAAAAGGAAATCTCAAAATACTTGACACATTCAAGTTGAAATCCAAGTATTTTAGAATAGATATTGGAAGTAAAAGTACAAATACACAACAAAAAAAGTAATTCAAATAAAATACTTAAAGTACTTATAGTACTTGAAGTGAAATTTCAAATAATTTACTCCAAATATTGACAGCTCTGCCCCTAATAAACAAAATTAGTTTCGAAATTCACTCACCTTTATCCTGAAAATGCATCATAATTGTCGCTTGCACCGGCGACACGGACAAATTCAAAGTCCTATCATTCAATTCAATTTCAATATTGACAATTCCTAAATGATTCTTCCAGCACAAAGTCCTGCTGCCTTTCAACGTTTCAAATCCTTCAGTAAACTGTTTCATTTGCTTTAGGACTTGATGATGCAATTCTAGCTTTTCGTCTTTGAAGGGAGGCCAAAATTGCTGGGAAACAATCATGGTTGAAAGGGGAATTTCGTCTTCACTATAATCGCTGTCTTCTTTGATTCTTTGATTTATTCGCTTTGAGTCTCCAATGTCTTTGAGCATTACTTCGCAAAAGTGCAAATGCGAATCACCGAAACGCAATTTGAGGAGTTCCAGGTAACGAATTTCTTTTTCGGTGTCGCAGTTGTATTGGGACAATAATCTGTCAGCTAAAAGGGTTCTGTATTCATTGACAAAGAGTTCTTTGCTGCCGTAAATGTTTACTAGCATTGAAATAATGTCTGCAGTTCTGTGGTTGATTGTTGAGTCTTTTGAGGCTTTTTTCGATGAAGAAACAGCATCAATAGGATCGGGTGTCCAAGTTTCCCAATGCTCATCGCCTTCATTTACTGGAGCATTTTCGTCTACAGCCTCTCCTCTGTTTAGTTCTTCTGCCAAATCATTAGGGCCTTCTTCTGTTAAGCTACTGACTACACATCTTACAGTGTCTTCACGGCTTCGTAAATATTGGTGAATTGGATAAGTGACAGTTTCTAGTAGTAGACCAGTAGGGTCTAAGACTCTTAATGATCTTATGGTTGCTACATATGCTGTGAGAATGTCGGTGGTACTAACACCAGGATGTAGCAATCGAGTTTCCATAGCTTTTTGGCATTTTTTGGTTAGTAGTTGTTTTAAGTCAGTGCGTGGTAAGCACAAACGGATGTCTTCAAGTGCTGGTAATGATTCGGGATATTCTAAAACAAGCCTGTTTGTTATATAGCTAATTGATTAGGTATTAACAGTCTTACCAATTACAATATTAAATAGCTGATCTATTCTGATTTTAGTGTAGCTGTTGTACAAGTAATTGACCAGCTTTTTTTCAAACATTTCCATTGATTGGTCTAGTGATATTGAAGCGTCAAAATAGTAGATTTTCTTCAGCCATACTATAACCACAGAGTGTAACCACTAAAATTGTGTGTTAGTGTATGAAAAGACACATTGTGTAGTAACTTACCTTCTCCAAGCTGGCTATAAATGAGTCATAGTTATCTTTGCAAATCTTCTGGATGTGATTGTGGATGTAGTTGTAACTTAAATTGGTCAAGGTTTGGCCTATTAGTGGTTCCAACAGAAACATTTTACCCAATTTCCTAAAAACAACATTCAATTCTAGTTTGCCAAGTATTTCATGTTTGCTGATAATGCAGCGTTAGTTTATGTGAAGCAAAAGATGAGATGAGTGGTGTAGGGAATGTAGTAAACATAGATTGTATTATAATAAGTTGAAAATCAATGTAAATAAGACCAAATATATTATCTATCTTCAGATAAATTTTAAGATAGATAATAACACAAAGTCCGAAGATGTATTATGCCCAAATTGTGAAGAAGTATAATCAAGCACTTCTTTGGTATATCAATTTTTCCATTAAGGTCCATTTCCTCCATCTTAGACGGGGTGCAAGAACATGCAACTTGGTATAGGAGTTCTTTAGAATACTCCTAATGATACTCCAAAAAAAAAGTTAGAAGCTAAACCTTTTTAGGAAATTAAAACAAATATAATACAGTTATAATACCAAGAATAATACAGGTCATGTAGCTACTTTGCTACTTTTTGAACAATTTCAATTCAAATTTTTCTAGTCGAAAATAACAACCTGAGGAATCTTGAAAATCAACCTACAATAACTGAATTCATTGAAAATACAGTCTCACACAGTTCAAAGTTTTCTTGAGAAGCTCATTTTTCCAAAGTTTCAAAATTTTCCAGTAGAAAATAACAATATGAAGAATCTCAGAAATCGACCTACAATAACTGAATTAATAAAAAATACTGTCACACAATTCAAAGTTTTCCTGGAAAATTAGTGAAGGGAAAATTTCAAAACTTTTTGCATGTGAAGAAGAAGGTCAGAAGCTCATTTCCCCAAAATTTCAAATTTTTCCAGTGGAAAATAACAACATGAAGAATCTTGGAAATCAACCTGTCAAAAACTAAATTAGTTGATAATACCGCTTACAACTTACAAAAACTGAATTATTTAAAAATACAGTCTCACATATTTCAAAGTTTTTCTGGAAAACTAGTGAAGGGAAAATTTTGAAATTTTTTGCATGTAGAGAGGAAGGTTAAAAGCTCATTTTCCCAAAATTTTAAATTTTTCCAGTGGAAAATAGCAACATGAAGAATCTTGGAAATCAACTTATAAAAACTGAATTATTTGAAACTACAATCTCACACATATCAAAGTTTTTCTGAAAAACTAGTGAAGGGAAAATTTTGAAACTTTTTGCATGTAAAAAGGAAGGTTAAAAGCTTATTTTCCAAAAATTTCAAATGTTTCCAGTGAAAAATAACAACATGAAGAATCTTGGAAATTGGAAATAATCGAGGAAATAATCCTACAAAAAGTGAATTAATTAATTGAAAATACAGTCTCACACGAGGTCTCACACATTTCAAAGTTTTTCTGGAAAACTAGTGAAGGGAAAATTTTGAAATTTTTTGCATGTAGAGAGGAAGGTTAAAAGCTCATTTTCCCAAAATTTTAAATTTTTCCAGTGGAAAATAACAACCTGAGGAATCTTGAAAATCAACCTACAATAACTGAATTTATTGAAAATACAGTCTCACACAGTTCAAAGTTTTCTTGGAAAACTAGTGAAAGGAAAAATTTGAAACTTTTTGTATGTAAAGACTGTAAAGAGAAAAATGAGAAGCTCATTTTTCCAAAGTTTCAAAATTTTCCAGTAGAAAATAACAATATGAAGAATCTCAGAAATCGACCTACAATAACTGAATTAATAAAAAATACTGTCACACAATTCAAAGTTTTCCTGGAAAATTAGTGAAGGGAAAATTTCAAAACTTTTTGCATGTGAAGAAGAAGGTCAGAAGCTCATTTCCCCAAAATTTCAAATTTTTCCAGTGGAAAATAACAACATGAAGAATCTTGGAAATCAACTTACAAAAACTGAATTATTTAAAAATACAGTCTCACATATTTCAAAGTTTTTCTGGAAAACTAGTGAAGGGAAAATTTTGAAATTTTTTGCATGTAGAGAGGAAGGTTAAAAGCTCATTTTCCCAAAATTTTAAATTTTTCCAGTGGAAAATAACAACATAAAGAATCTTGGAAATTGGAAATAATCCTACAAAAAGTCTCACACATTTCAAAGTTTTTCTGGAAAACTAGTGAAGGGAAAATTTTGAAACTTTTTGCATGTGAAGAGGAAGGTTAAAAGTTCATTTTCCCAAAATTTCAATTTTTTCCAGTTAACCACATGAAGAATCTTGGAAATTGACCTACAAAAACTAAATTAATTGAAAATACAGTCTCACACATTACACCGAGCATTACACATTTGAAAGTTTTTCTGAAAAACTAGTGAAGGGAAAATTTTGAAACTTTTTGCATGAAAAGAGGAAGGTAGAAGTTCATTTTCCCAAAATTTCCATTTTTTTTCCAGTGGAAAATAACCGAGGGGTGCGCAAATGTTAAAAAAGTGTACACCAAAATTAATTATTAGGGTATTTAAATGCTATTTAAGTAAAAAACTAGGCATTTAAAGATATTTAAATGAGTATTCAAAAGTATTTTAAATATAAAAATAATCAATTTAGAGGATCCAACCGAGATTTAAAAAGATTTAAATTGGATTTAAAAGCAAAGTGTACACCATATTTAATTCTCTGCGCGCCCCTCGAAAATAACCATATGAAGAATCTCGGAGATCAACCTAACAAAAACTGAATTAATTGAGAATACCAGTCTCACACATTTCAAAGTTTTTCTAGAAAACTATTAAAGGAAAAAAATTTAAACTTTTTGCATGTAAAGAGGAAGGTTAGAAGCTCATTTTCCAAAAGTTACAAATTTTTCCAGTGAAAAATAACAACATGAAGAATTAATTAATTGAAAATACAGTTTCACACATTTCAAAGTTTTTTTGGAAAACTAGTACCTAAATGAGGAAGGTTAGAAGTTCATTTGGTCCAAAAATGCTGACAGAATTTGCAATTTTTGATTCAATTCATATACATAGAGCTTATTGGCTAGTAATTCCTCATATCCTCTCTGTTGCTATTTTTGAAAATAGGCGAAATAACTGCCATTTCAAGAATAATAGGAAAGCAGCTTTGTTTCAATGCAAAATTAAATATAAATTTTTATGGATATAGGAAAACTGCAGCGCATCTTTTGTAGGATGGTATGCCATCAGGCCCAGTTCATCTTTTTGATTTATAAATTTGATACTGACTAGGTAAAGTCTGTTTTTTTTTTAAAGATAAAAGTCAAAATGACATTATGTTGGCAATACAATGTAAAATTGTCAATACTTTTAAATTTTTTATGTAGAAAAGCCTTGTGTTGCCAACATAGTTACTAAATTTTTGACTTGGGGAATTATTTAAAAAAAAAAAAAAACTTTATGTTTATTTCAGGCATTGTATTCGGATACTAAGTGGATTGGATTAATTATGGGGATTAATAATCCTGAAATAAACACCCAGGATAGTCCGGATCACAGTAATTAATCCAAATTGTAAATGTGTGAAATAGCAAATTGCTAAATAAACTTATTACTATTGTAACTACTACCAATAATAGGTCTGTTCCTAGAGAAATCACAAACCAGTCAGAGTGAATTTTATTGGTTGAAACTAGTTTTCTGACTGTTTTCAACCAATGAAATTTGCTCTGATTGGTTTGTGATTTCTGCAGAAACATACCTAACAGGGATGCTATTTCTAGTACAATTGTACTAGATCTAGCACAATCACGTTTCACCTAGTACACTAGTACCTCTCTCATAAATCTAGTACAATTTGGATTACGAGTCGAGTGTCGCTTTTCGCTCTGTACCATACCTGAGTTTGAGCTCCACTCTCTACTTGTGGGTTGTGTTCCACGTTTCAGGTCCCACTACGGTGCAGAAAACCAAACAAGAAATTGACGTTTCAAATATGGTTTCGAACGCACATGCACTTTTTTTATTCTGTGACTTGCTGTGTGTCATGTATTGATGGTTATTTGGTTATTTAGCTGATCATGGTAATCGGTAGTTGATTTAACTAAATATGTAGAAATTTATTTATTCCTATGATTCAGGGCTAATGGGGATAAATATCACTTCAAAATATGCAATAATTTAATTGATTCGGCTGAAATATTAAGTTGCCTCAATTTTTTGGTTCCCGCAGCAAACACCCGAACTCACCATAAATTTTATCTGGAAAACTGTCATACTAATCTCGCCAGAAATGCGCCTATATATAGAGCCTGCTCATGGCATAATCAATTAATACCCATTGTACTTGAGTTGGATCTTTGCAATGGTACTGTAAAGTCATTTAAAACTAAAATTATATTACAGATAAAAAATGCTCTCCTGAATTAAATTGCTCTAGTGATTGTTTTGATTGATTATTGAATCTTGCATTTTTGTGGAATATTGCTGATTAGCTTGGGGTTAACTTCTTGTCCTGGGGTTTTGCTGGGGGAAGCTGTTGATGCTGCCTAATATACTTAATTTACATCTGTTTTCTCTTGATTATTAATTACAAACTATAGTCAGTTACTTCATGTATTTGTATATGAAGCATATGTCAAAACCTAGTTTTAAGTTTACAATAACATTTGTCTAGTCTTTAATTTGAAATTATTATAATTGTCTTGTTATTGGGTTTATCCTGTTAGACAATAAACAAATAAATCAATAAATAAATAAATAAAAAAATAAATAAATAAATAAAAATAAATAAATAAAAATCACTTGTTTTAGGGTCGGTTTCTCAATAGCGAGTTATCCCCGGGTTAAGGAGAATTATAGGTAAACATTGCAACTGGACACATTTACCCTGGATTTAAAACCAACCCATAGGTGACTCGCTATTGAGAAACTGACCCTAAAACAACTGATATTTACCCCCATTTATCAGAGCCTACTTTTGTTTTCAAATTTCAAAATTTGACGCGTTTTCAGCTAGAACACAATGTCGCCAATCTAGTACAATTATTCCCTCCTTTCTGGTACAATTTTTTTAGTGCCGATAGCATCCCTGATACCGAGTGCTTTTGAATCATATCGGGTCTTCAAAAAAAAAACCAATCAAAGATTGCTTTGGTTACAAAAACGTACGTCGCATTATTGTTTCTTTATTGGTCAGGATTTTTGAAATGACATTTTGACATTAAAGTTCATTGACAAAATTAAGGAAAAGCCGGGGTCAAACGACTCGTGTAGTTGGCGAATAATCATTACTTGCTTATACTTGCCATGTCGTGTGAGTGTGTTACTTGTACAATTATTTGTCACTCGTTGGTTTTCCATTTCTTGTCGGTAAAAATGTCCCGGGTCAAAGGGATCACGATTATTCGTACACTTGCCAAGTTCATACTTGTAGAAGTGCTCAAACGAAATGCACAAATAATTGGCTTTTACTACGACTATTTCATTCAGTTTTCGACTAGCTTCAAGGTTTAGCCAAATGTTCGCGCTCGCATACTTGTAAATTGTAACACGTCGTGTGAGCGCCCTGCTTGCCATCGCAATTGGCAAAGCTCGTTTATTTGCCAACTAGGCGAATAATTGTGTATTCGCCAAGTACATGAGTCGTCTGAGCCCGGCTTAAGACATACGTTTAAAAAACCTTGGTTTTTTTTTTTTGAAGACCCGATATAATTACTTGCCAATGGAATTAAAGACTTTAGCAAGAATATTGTTATGTGTATAATTATTTGTAAAATTCTTACCTGTTTGTCTCCTGAAACAAATGCAAACAATTGCAATTGGAACTCTCTTGAGCACACCCAATACACATAGCATCTGAACTGTTCTCATCTGAGTCTTCCATCTTCAGAGCAATTTCGTAAAAGTTCATTGTAACTGTTTGATAATCTACATGCAATTGGCCCAGTAAAGTGGCCTTTAGGCTTAATTTTAAGGCATTTTGAAGGGATTTTTCTTGATAAGGTATTTGAGAAACTTTAGCGAATTTAGCAAAAGCAATTAGCTTTCCTATCACCTTTTCCAACTGCTGATAGTTATCATAAAGTGCTTTGACTGCATTGTAAAACTGCTTTAGACCCTTGTTTTCACTCTGTTCAAAATGGGACCAGAATTCCGGTACCACTTCTTGACGCAGCCTTTTTTCGATTTTATTCATTACCAATTGCTGGAACGTGTCTTGCAGTAGATTTTCTTGCATGAAATTGCAAAGTTGTTCAAAGTCAGTCTTTAAAACTTCGGTTTCTTGTTGTTGGCAGACTGTATCGTTCAATATTGGAAAAATTTGCTGGGCCAAGGCCCAGAATCTTTTGGAATCTTGCATTATATCGAAAACAGCTCCAATTTAATAGGAATCGGAGTAAATAATTAATAAAGAAACAGAATAATTATTGTTTATGTTTACTTTTCTTTCAGACAAATCTAACCTCACTTCTCCAGCTGATGCTTTGCTTTGTGTCTTTTTTCAATCGTAATCATTGAAAAGAGATAAATGACAAACAAAAAGCGGTACTCATAGCGAATTATATTTATTGTACACTGAGTGTATTCATGCCTTTTCCTACCAGCTTGTATAAGAAAGAGATAACAATATATTTTTCCTACACTGATACTACCAATAGAAATCGCTATCAATGTCAAACGTCACAATACTCGTCAGTGTCAAAATCCTTGGGCGATTCTCCATCATGGCGGACACTAGTAGTGACACTTGTTGTTAGATTTATTTTTATTTTTATTTTTTTTTTTGGGTTTTGTTGGTGTGACAAAACCTGGCAAAAGAAAAACAATTTAGCGAATAATAAAAAAATTGTGCTCGAATGTGAAACGGGACTAGACGGACTGCATCAGTGCCCCCCCAAAACAAAATAATGTGTGTTGTTTTGTGTCCCTTTTATATATTTGTTTAATGTCCACAGCCAGGATGAATAATAATAATAATAATTTCAATAGTGCAACCTCGGCCAGACCGCCTTCGTGAGTATTAGATAATTTACTATAAAAAGATTGGATTCGTAATAATAATAATAATGAATACAATTCGCCTTGTTGTTTTTATTTTCTCTTAACTTGTTATGTGGTTGGAGCAATGAGCAATTAAACTCGCTAGCTGTTTTAATAGCATTTCTTGCCTTCTACTCATTAGAATCAATTTAGTTTTCATTGTCAGATAAAGCTGAACACTATTTGGCAACTGTAAACAGTCTTCTAATGGAATGACCCCTCCCTTCTTCATTTTATTATTATTATTATTAAGTTATTTTTCCAATAATTTCATAATAATATTCATAAAAATAATTAGTTCTGGAATTTTGCAAAATATTTAGGTCATACAATACATTTCTAGACTGACAAGTTATTGTATTTCCTATTGTTTTGACTTGATTTAACAGTTACCTATAATACGAATACGGCTGACTCTTGCCTTTAAAAAAGACATGATTCATTCTTGTTTGGTCAGAGATACCTTCTGCATTAATTAAGAAATCACATCTTAAAATAATATATGGGCTTTTTGAAACCAGTTTCCTAAATAATGTAGCTATTGTTGGTTTTACAGTAGAAATTATTTTTTAATATAAAAATAGTGCATTTTATTTAGGTAACTGAATTTGTTATTTTATGAATAGTGATTGTAATGTTTAGTTCTATGTGAGTTAAATAACAAGGCTAATAATTATCTAGTTCATTTAATCAGTGATCTATTAGGTAATTACATACAGCGATCCCCGCACAATAATAATCAGCTGTTGTTTAAGACTGACGCAGGTATTGAATCGTGCCTTGACAACGTTGCCACAGTTAGCTAGATATAATACATGACATGTCCCTTATTAAAAAATAAAATAAAAAATAAATTCTTAAAAAGAAAATATGTAAAGGCAAATCCCAAAAATAACAATAGGCATAACAAAAATGGTAAAATAAGTAATAATTCGAACAAGTAAATATTCAACTAAAACTATTAATATTATTGTCATTGTTAAACACAGCATTTCACAAGTTCAGTTTTTCAGGACACTTGATTACTCGACCGCTTCTTGTTTTGGGAATATCCAAGGGAATATCATTTCCTATGGGGTCTATAGGAATCTCAACTTTTGATAATTCCTGTAATGAAGGCTGTCTAGACTGCTCGGCTGCAACATCCCTTTCAGGAACAACTGGATCTGGAACCTGCGGGTTGTGACTATCTTCGCCTTGTCTCTCTTCTCTTTGTCTAAAGGGTCTTAGGTGTATGCGGTTTCTCCTATATTCGGCACCTTGCTCAGTTCGGACATGGTAGTCATTATGATCTGCTTTAGAAATGACTACAGCTGGTTTCCAGTCACGAATGCCACGTTGAATCAAAACCTTTTCATCAAGATGTAAGTCTGGCAATTTCTTCGCATGTTGGTCATGGTGCAATTTTTGTTGTTTTTGCTTGCACTCCAATTTTTCCTTTATCCCTTTTATAGGAAATTTAGGTTTAAGTAGACTTCGGGTAACTGGAAATGTGGTTCTTAATTTCCTACCCATTAAAAGATCACACGGAGCAGGTAAGTCTTGTTTAGGAGTTATGTTATAATTCAAAACAGCTAACAGAGGGTCTTGTTTACAGTTTATAGCTTTTGATAGTAGACCTTTCACTGTTTGGATGGACCGTTCAACCATTCCATTACTCTGAGAATGTTCAGGACTTGAAGTTTTAAGAATTATATCATAGCTTGCACCAAAATTAGAAAATTCCATGGAGTTGAAGGGTGGTCCGTTGTCGGAAAATATTTCCATAGGTATACCATTTATTGCGAATATATTCTTCAATGAAGAAATGGTTGTTGTAGCTGTCTTGTTGGGAATTTTGTTGACTATAACGAATTTACTAAAATAGTCACAGATTACAAGAAAATCCATACCCTTGTGAGATTTAAAATCAATACCCACTTTTTCCCACGGCAATTTTGGAACTTTGTGTGATATCAAGGGTTCCTTTTGATTACTGCGAGAGTATTCCTGACAAACCTGGCAACTCAGTACCATATCTTCTATGGCTTTAGTAATTCCTGGCCAATATACCGTTTCTTGTGCAAGCTTTTTGCAAGAAACTACCCCTTGGTGACTACGGTGTAAAAATTCTAATATTTCAGGCCTAAGGATATGTGGGATTAAAATTCGCTTTTTATAGAACAGAATATCTTTATGTAGATAAATTTCATTACGTATGGTCCAATAAGACTTTAGCTCTAATGGTTTTAAACACATTTTATGTTCTGGCCAGCCCAAAATTGATAAATTTTTAATTTTCTGCATAATTGGGTCTTCGGAAATAGCCTTTAATAGTTTTTGCTCATTTTGCTTAGATGTTGCAAGGACAGTGTGTATTTTTAAATGGTTTTCTAAATAATCTGTGTTTATCAAGTCACTTGCCGGGTCTCTACTAAGTGCATCAGCTACTTGCATTTTTTTTCCTGGTACATATTCAAGGTTGAATTGGTATCTTAACAACCTGATCGCCAATCTCTGAAGTCGAGGAGTCAGGTCATCGAGTGATTTTTTGAGTAAGCCTAAGAGAGGTCTGTGATCAGTTTGAAGTTGAAACTTGTTTCCATAGAGATAAAAATGGAATCTTTCACAGCCGAAAACTAAGGCGAGCATTTCCTTTTCAATATGATTGTACCGTTGTTGAGTTTGCGTTAAAGAAATGGAAGCAAACTTAATCGGATGGTTATCCTGCATGATTACAGCACCTAGGCCATAAGGACTTGCATCAACAGATAAAATGGTCTCTTTGAAGGGGTCAAAAAATGATAGAACTGGTGCAGAAGTTGCTAATTTTTTTAAACGATCAAAACAAAGATTTTCATTTTGTGACCATTGCCATTCATTTCTCGAACTTAAAAGTTTTCTTAGAGGTCCAGTCTCTTGCGAAAGATTGGGGATAAACTTGGCCACATATGTAATCATTCCTAAGAATCGTTGCAGATCTTTTTTACTTTCCGGCGGTTTCATATTTTTTATTGCCTGGGTTTTATTAATGTCCGGGGAAACCCTATTTTCATTTATTATGTGTCCAAGAAATTTAACTGACTTTTGACAAAACTTTGATTTTTCTAAATTCAAAGTTAGTCCACTTTTTGAAATTTTATTTAAAACAATGTCCAAATTTTGATTATGTTCATCCAATGAGGAGCCAAACACAAGTATATCATCAAAATAATTTATGACGCCACTAACGCCCTCTAAAGTCTCATAAAGGAAGCGTTGAAAGATTTCGGGCGCCGAGCTAATGCCATAAGGTAGGCGAACGTAGCGGTACCTGCCCCAGGGCGTAGCTATTGTGCACAATTTAGAACTATCGTAGTCTAATGGTATCTGTAGAAAAGCTTGAGAAGCATCAAGTAAAGTAAAATATTTTGCATTATAAAGTTCACCAAATAAAGAGTCAAGAGTAGGAATATGAAAGTTCTCGCGTTTTATGTAAGCGTTCAATGCTCTAGAGTCCATGCAAATTCTGATATCACCATTAGACTTTGGCACTACAACAATTGGGTGAACCCAGTTTGTTGGTTCGGTTATAGGTACTATAAGTTTTTCGCTTACCATCTGATGCAGCTTTTCTTTTACCTTATCTTTGAGTGATAGTGGAATCTTGCGTGCAGCACACACTTTAGGCTCAAAATTGCTTGTTAATGTTATTTTATAGTTTTTTTTCACTTTACCAGTCCCACTAAAAACCCTGCTATGTTTGTCAAGAATTTGTTTCAGATTTCCTACTTCGGATTCTTCACTCCTCGAAGTAATTTCACAAGTGTTAGTCACAATTCCTAGGAGTTTGGCACCCTCCAGCCCTAGGATAGAAGATGCTGATTGTCCCTTGTTTAATACATGAAACGAGAGTTCTGATGACTGTTTTGCAAAGTCACATAGCAAATTAATTTGGCCTAAAGTGTCTATTTTGTGACCAGAATATGAAACCAAAACAGATGAAGTTTCTAAAATGTCACTAAGTTTTATTTTCAACATTCTAAAGTCTTTGTATGTTGAAATGTTAACATGGCTCCCGGTATCAATTTTCAGGCTTATTTCACACTGTTCAATAGTTATAACTTCAAACCATTCCACTGAATCAATATTTTGGTTTATTACAGTCCAAACCACATCAACACTATCCGAAGAATCAGACTTTTCACTGTCTGAGTCTGTATCACTTTCTGCATCGATTCCATGTACTTGATACTTTCTACCACAGAATTTTCGATAATGGCCTCTACGATGACATTTTGAGCAGACACGATTATATGCAGGACATTGGTTTTTTGCATGCCCTGATCCACAATTTGAACACGTTTTGTTCCTCAAATCTTTGTTAACATTAGATGACTCAGCTCTTCCTTGAGACTGCTCTGCATACCCAGATGTTGAAGGCTTGTGATATTGTGCCTCAGATTTTCCTGAACCTTGTTTGTGCTTCC